TATCTCTCCAGTGCAACGCCTTTGCTTCTCATTTTGTATACCTCTGTCTAAGCAGTTAGCTTTGCCAGGAACAATTCTGCACCATAATCAAGACTGTTAATAAAAATATCAAAGTAGGATGAACAAGTGGCTCATAGAAATTTCAGCACTATGAATAGCTTCAGTTTTTACTTATATGCTGTTAATTCCAGTTAATGCAAATTTTAAAATTATAACACTATTTTCTTATCCCCTTTCTCTCTTACTTGCTAATATTTATTAATTTATTTATTTTGTTCAGAATGTTGGCTACATGCTGTGCTACAGACTGGTAAGCAATTACCAAAAGTCTGATTAGTTGAAAGAAAACATGCCTGGACACACAAACAGAAATATTTTGGATGTGGCAGAGTGAGATAAAAGAATGACAGAACAATATGAGCAGGAGAATAAAGTTCTGCAAGAGCATGCGATCTCTTTGCTTTATAGCATCTGTGCTCCTGAGCACAAAAATAATACAAAGGTTCTGAAAAGTTTCTAAGAGAATGCCAAGGGCCATGTTAAGCACCAAAAAGTACTTTTTTTCCAGAAAGTCTAAGGGATTTTCAGACTTCTACAGTATCTTAGCAAAATGATTACCTTTTCCTTCCTAATACAAAACTAGGTATTGTCTGAGGAAATCAGAAACAAATTGTGCCAGCATTGGTAGATGCCACAGTGATGCCACACTTGTGGTCTTTGGGAGCTTTTAAAGTAGGGTCATTTAGCACCCAAGTTCTAGCTGTGGTTTCCAAAGGAATGTTTTGGGCAATTTTTCAATTGTTTCAAGAAGCCTCCTGTCAAATACCATACAAAACTAGTCCATCATCACTTCTACTGAGTATTTTCATAGGGCCATGTGGTGAGTTAATGAGGAGAAACAGATTCTGCTCCTATCAGCACGAAAACGTTTTCTGTTTCATCTGATTTGAATTGTGTGTGTTTCAGAAACATATCAAATGTACGCCAAAGAATTCGTAAGAGCTCTTTTGGAAAAGGGCTACCTGGCTGACCCTTCCATGCAGGTAATGATATAGGAAAATGAAAAGCATTGGTAACGTTTATTTGGTATCTCAGTAAAGAGGAGGGAAAGCATTGTATGTGACTATATTTCGATCTTGGACCTATTGTAACAGTTCAGGACACTCCAAGAATAGCTGTAGTGAAAATACTTCTACCCATCTGTGCTTGACAAAAAGAGGATATAACTTTTCTTTCAGATACAGATCAGATTACACTTGCCTGTAACATTTTCACCTAAAAGCTAGAATGTTGTAATGCACTTTACATGGAGGGAATTTGCAGACCATATGGAAACTAGAGTTACTGAAAACATGTCTGTGCAAGTGTTAAATGGAACTCCACAATGAGCATTGCTAAGCTTAAATATGTGACCTACTCATATTGCATGTTTGTATCCAATTAGATTCTATACGGACAATTTTAACCTTTGCAACTTCTGTTCTCTGAGGCATTGAAAGAACCTCAGTTGATGAACTGCAGTAGTGTTGGGCTGGTTTTGGTATATACTCCATTTGAAACTATTTGCATTCGATTGCAAATTGAATTTGTCCTTTTTAACCTATCATGGAGGACACATTCTGGGAAGTTGAAATATCTGGAATATAGTAAGATACCTTTGAAGAAAGAACTGGTCGTGGAAAAAGGGGTAAAAATGAGTACTATTTCAGTAAGTAAATAGACAGAGTTTTACCAATAAATATGTTCCGCAATGTCAGATTACTACTTGATAGAGTTCCTCTGTCACCAGTCAGATTTTGGAATTTACGTGAACGAACGTGAAAAATTAACAATTTGGAGTATGAGTCATCCAAGTTTTTGGTCTAGACTGACCAGGTGATTGCAGCCAGTTCATTTCAACTCCACTCAAGAGTTAAGAAACCACTGCTTAGATGGTAAATATAATTTCCTCAAAGAATAAATCAGCCAGTCTTCCGTGGGACAGAATGATGATACAAGCTAAAGGAAAATGAGGTGGCACGGTATGACTGCAAGATCTTTCACCAAAAGTTCGAGACAGCTCAACTCCTACAAAAAGGAGAAATCATAACTAAGTTGCATACACATTTCCAAATACTTATTAACAACACCTATCTCAAAGCATCAGATATTCTGGAAAGTTTGCATAATTAACCTGTTTTAGAAGTATTAGAATGATTTTTTTTTCTGTTCCCTTTTACTTTGTGCTCTCTCTTCAGTATGCAAAACCTCAGCTACAAAACTGTGCATATTCTTACCAACTCTGAAATGATTTAGTAATTCTTACACACACGCATGCACATGAGCGCTAAAGAGAGCTTCAGAAAAAAAGCCCATGCCATCAAGGATGCCTGAAGGTATTCAGATTTTAGCAAAATCTGATAGGGGAAAGGCTTCATACCATACGAAGGTTTTGAAAGACAGCAAGAGGAGGGAAGGTATTTTTATGTTTCAAGCTTGAATAATCAGAAGAAAAGGACACGCTTTATAGAATGCAACAGATACTTTAGTGGTGATCAGTTTGAAAAACAGACAGCACCTTCAGACTCAATTAAACAAGTTTATTTGCTCCTTTTTAATTGTTGTAACTAAAACCTTTACACATAAAGCAACAAATTAAACTATTTCATATAAAACTGTCAAGCTAATTACTGCTTGCCAGTAAAAATCAAGTTTAAATTATCAAAGCCTCACAGGAATTCTGTGTACTCACATATCTTGAATCACGCCACTAAAACCCTCTGTTTTGCAGAGTCATTACACGGAGAGCCCTTTCAAGCACTTCAAGGACCACCATTGGCTTTCAGTAAACAATGACAGGAAATTTATCAAAGTAAATCAGGTAATGGACTAGGAGAGAATTTAGAATTCCCTTTTAAAGGGAACTTAACTAGGCAAGAATTCAGTTTAGTTGAGATCAAGGGTCTCATACAGGCAAGGAAGAAAGATGAGAAGTATGCAATGACTATAAAAGCAGCTGAGCTCTCTGTCAAAAAGAAAAAAAGCCCAACTATTTTAGAGGGAGCAAACAGAAATTCAGGTCCTGAGGCATGCAGTGTAAAAATCTAAGCTGTGTTTGGATTTTTTTCTTTACAGATTGCTATTTCAATATCTTGGGAAGAAAGGACTGGTTCTTAGAAATTGGGAACAAGACAGCGATTAAAGAGAAGGTTAGACATAACATTAAGGAAACGTGATGGGAAGGACAGTACTTGTTTTGGAACTTGGTGTTTGGTTCATAAACAATGACTGCCGAGACTGAATTGGATGGCTGAGTCATAGATGCAACAAAATTTGGAACAGCAGTCCAAGTGGGTATCTGAAGAATGCTACAGCCAACAAAACCATGCCTCTGTCTGGACAGGCAATGAGATAAACTCATACTGCCATATAGTCGTGAGGTTCCTGTGGCCTCTAGTTTTTCAGTCTTTGTCATATGCTGGGAACTGTTGGAGCCTTGTTCACACCATGAATCTGACCAAAAGACGAAGTCAGAACAGCATTGGTGAAGAATTTTTTTAATCTATAAAAGAGCTTAGGTGAAACCAAGACAATTTTATTTGTATTGTATAAAAGCTATAGTGCAAATAATCAACTGTCAAACCGAAAAGGATAAGACTGCTACAAATTTTGCAATCAACTTCACTGAAATAAGAGACTTAAGAATGGAATCCTTATCTTAGAGCTATCTCAATGTTCTCAATGAGCATCCCAGACCATTAACTTCAGGTGTCATTAAGTGAGAACTGCAACTTACTCATAGCTATAAAATAAACAGTATAAAAAACCTGAAGCTGCTGAGAATTACTAAGCTACTATACCATTCCTTGGTATATTATACAATAATATTATTAAACAATAATTAGACAAAAAAGGAAAAGGCTATTTAGAAGTTTTCAGTTACAAGGTGCAAATATTTCTAGCATTAAGAATAAAAGAGGGCCAATGTTGCGGGGAATAATAACTGAGACCATAGAAAGAATGTACACTAATATTTAGATAAAACACATGTATAATAGGAGTTTTGGAATTTGAACACAAAGCTGTGTTTTTTCTGTGTAGACCTTCACACACTATAAGCTTTGCCCTAATGAGACTTCTTCATAGAATCATAGGATTGTTTAGGTTCTTAGGAAAAGACCTTTAAGATCATCGAGTCCAACTGTAAACCTCTCATTAAACAGCAATGTTGTGTGTAAGAACAATTCTGGAAGGAAAAAGTTTACTTGACTGAATATATATGGATATATGATGTGGGATCAGTGCATGTTCATGCAAATTCCCACATCACTATTTTAACTGCATTAGCAATTTCTGATGAGCTTGCCGCATTTGCACTTTCTGCATAATTTCTGCATTACTTACTGCCTCACTTATGAGGATTCATTATTTTCCCCAAATTTTGTAACTATGAAGTAGTAAAGACAACACATAAAAACCCATAAAAATCCTTGAAAGTGTTCAAGGATACTTTTCTTTAAAAAATCATCACTTTTTATTTCCCGTTAGGTAGAACTCTTTATCTGCCTGTGTGAACCCACCTGAGCAAATAGCGTCCCTACCAAATCTAGATGCACGTTTCAATAATGTTGGAGCACAGTCTTCAATTTACTTTCTTCTACGGGAATTGGTTACACTTTTTAATTCTATTTTTCACTAGTTTCTCGAATTCAGGCTGAAAGACTTATACTAATATAATTATTCTGAGGAGGAAAAATCAAATTATACAGAGGTTTTTGCATTCCAAAATGACAAGATGTATCTTTACACAGCATCTCACTTAGGGGAAAAAAGCAATACAAAAGCTATCACTTTTAAATGCTTTAAATTAAGCTAGATGCAAGGAAGTGAAATCACAACACATCAACAACTGATTCATTTATTTATCAAAAATAGTTACATAAAGTCTTGTGAAAATGAAACATTGTTCATATCAAATGACTAATAGCTAAAATAATATAATTTTATAACAGAAACAGTACCTTCAATCAACAGCTCTTGTCCATGACTGCCCAACAATGTGCGGGATAGGAAAGGGGCAAAGTCAACAAAAATTTCTCGCAGGAGAGGGGCCACCTTTTCTAAAGCTCTTTCAAGCTTTGCAGTGATACTGTGGAAAAACAGAGACCATGTTTGGAAGAACACTTAACAATAGAAGTTAAATGATGTCAAATCAAACCTGTTTTTAAAAGTTACTGTAAGCTTCTTTAGAAAAGACGATGATAATTTGATTAAAGTTTACAGTGTTTAAATGGCTTCAAGTAAATGCAAATATCATGTCAGAGTCAGCAGTGTAACAGCCTCATAAATTCTACAGCATCTACAGAATACTCTAAAACAAGTAAAATTTTTATTCTCAAACACGGTAAGAAGAATGTCAGATATTCAAGTGTAAGTCTATTTCACCTATCTCAGCTTATACGCCTCATAATTTTATATACATTTGAAAGCTTGAAAAGAGAAGTTTTTATTCACCCACGGCAATCACACGTAACTTGCTTTTTTGTTCAAGCTTTCAAATAACAACATCTGGCATTGCAATGCTAGACAAGGGAGAGCATGAGGAAGCGTTCTAGCACAGGTATCAAGAAAATCAGTATTCTTTTCTTCAGCCTTGAGGGAACATGATCCCAGGTAAATCACTTTGCCTTTGCATTTATACTTCTCTGCCTGCTGAGACTGTATTAAGTGATCCTTAATTTCTACTTGTACAGTGAGAAGTGTTGTGACTTCCGTTTGCTTTTTAAATACCAGAAATAATATTCCTTTTTCTGAGGATACAAACCTAGCAAAAATACAAATACAAGGATACAAATCAGCAGTGTGCTAAGGATTGTACCCCTTGTCCTTCTTCCCTCTTAAAACCTGACAGGGTGTAATACTTGTGCCCTCTGAAATGCTTATGCCAAGATTAAAAACCTGCTATGTTATCTCAAAGAAGTGAACTGTTACTTAAAACTAGAAATGAAATTACATATATATTCTGGTCTACCAAGAATTTTTGCTGTTCTTTTTCAGACTGCCAGTGGCTGAAGGAGTTTTCTTTGTGTTTGAATTATGGCACCAAAATATTATTGGCATTTAAAAGCGCAATTATAGGAAGAAATTACATTCATTGACAGAATCTAAGAGAATGAACACTGACATTTAAATTTTATACTGTATCTACTATCTACAAACACTAAATAAAAGTGGCCTTTTTAATTCAGATCACACGAAGATCCCTAGATTTAAAAAGAAAGCTGACATCATCAGCACACTGGAAGTTTTCCTTCATTAGCTTAAAATTATTTTACTGAATTCCTATAGTTTATTTTCTTTCAATGTGCTGCTTTCTCATTTCAGATTCAGATATTGATTTTATAATATTCTAAAGGAGGGATTCATATCATCAGCCTTTGTTTTGGATGATTAGTTGAAGTGAATTTCACTGTGCTAAAGCCTCTATTGACTATGCTTGAAACACATGCGACTAGCTTAGAGTTTTTAATTCGCAACATGAATCTATCCCAAGCTTTTGCTGCTAGAGATAAAAAACATACTAGATTAATCCAGACTTCTCTAACCCATGTTTTAAAACATGCTTTCACTGTAAATTGGTTTAAAAGGCCTAATTTTAGAGTTCATTTAACTCTGAAAACTTTACATACAATTGAAAAAATTTCAAGTTCAAAAGTTTTTAAATTAAGATAAATTTCTATTTAAGAATCAAGTAATATGGGAGGCATGGATGTGCTATTAATCAACACCTTGGATGAGCTATTAATAAACACCTTGTTATCAAATGGATAGCTGATGGATCTTGTATATTATGGATCTATTCATAGGCAATTGGGAATAGTATTCTGTGAAAATGTGAGATCAAAGTTTAGCATTGTTTCAAAATGTGTATCAAAGGACAGAAATTAAAAATTAAATAGAAAAAAAGAAAAAAAAATCCTTTTCCTTCATATAAATCCCTGGCACATTTGCATGTTGAAAACTGACTGGAGTTCCGGTCCTTCAGTTTCAAAAAGAACAAGCAAAATTAAGAAAAAAACATATTACAAATAACAAGAGACCCCAAAAATGTTTCAGGGAAGGAGATGGCCCATCTACTGCCTTTCCTGTACGCACACTGAGAGGAGAGAAAAAGAGGAGAGACCAATCTGATTCTGCAGCTGTTTCTAACATCTATTATACATTATCATAGAATCATAGAATCATTGAGGTTGGAAAAGACCTCTAAGATCGTCGAGTCCAACCGTCGACCCAACACCACCACCCACTAAACCATGTCCCTAAGTGCCTCATCTACTCGTCTTTTAAATACCTCCAGGGAATACCTCCATATAATGCAGCCTGCAATCATTAGGGAACTCCCTGTGGAGATTATTGTAACTAGTTTTCATGACTGAACTAAGAGATTTTAAGGGTTTTTTATAAAGAATGAATATTGTGTTTTTTCCTCTCCATTTCTGGACATTCAAGGCAAATAAACTCTTAACAGCTTCTAAATTCAAGATTATTTATTTTGCAGATTAAAGGCAACACACATCAGAAAATAAATTATATATATAATGTATGTATATATAATTTCTCTATACATAAAGGTGATAAACTGGGACAGGAAAGATTGAAAGCACAGTAGCAACATCAGATTAAAAGAAATACTTTTAAAACTGTGAGCAAAAAGACCAAATAATCCTGTGGACAGTTCTTACTACCTATTGCTTGAATTGGTCACAAGAAAGTGCAAAGAGAGGTGGGGGCACACACTGTCCCAGTCCCAAGTATGCTACCTTCCCAACCTCATTCCAGGCCAAACCTCTACCTCCAGATCAAGACCATTAAATGTCTAAAAGTCCAAAATCATTCTCCTGCTCACTTTCCTGTGCTTAGTCTACAGCCATAAGCAGCTCTTTTCCTACGCAGCTGCTACAAGGGAAGGCTTAGATAAGTCAGCTTTCACTTCATGCTCTCTGACCCCACAAACAACTCTGATTTTTAATCTCATAAAAGCTGAAGCACAATGAATCCAAAGTGAGAAAACCAAAAATTATCCTTTATCAAAACAAAGTTTTAGTTGTTTCTTGGGGGGGGTGGGGAGAAAAGGGAAAAAAGCCCAAAAGACATTTCTTGGGTTGATTAGATTTCAATTTATCTACATTTCTGACATCGTGCTCCACATAAGTTTTTTCAGTCACTAATTTCAGTTACTACTCAGAGTACAACTACTTCCGAGTTCAAATTCTGAGTTCAAAATCTGAATTCTAGATTTTGCAACTGAAGTGTTTCTTTGACTCCAGGACAAAAACTTTCAAAATGCTTGTGAAAAAACAAGAACATTGCATTGGTTAAAAATTACTGAAAAATAAACTGATTAACGATCCAGTTTAATTTTATCATACTTCAGTATCTGAATTTTAAAAAAGATTTCACCCTCAGTGAAGCACTGTCCTAACATATGAAGAAGACAAGAAGCAAAAGGAGTGGTTTAATTATGCCACAATTTTATTAACTTGCCTTGTAACACTGTCAAGCAATAAATAACACCATACAAATGGTCATTCTCCCCTTGATCATTTGCACCTTTTGCGGAGCCAACAGCCCTCACGCTTTCAGCCTGGGCCCGCACCCATTGCTGTGATTCCACCTGCACCACTCACCTGCACACTTCAGATAGGACCAGCAAAAAAAGGCATTTTTTGCACTGTGTGTTAAATCCCTGAAGCACCAATACTTTTTTTTACAGGTTACCTAAGGCCCTTGATTTAGGTTTATTTCCTTTCTAGTTCATTAGGGAATAAAATTTTCTTGTTCATGAGCTTGTAAGCTTGTAAGCTCGTGAACAGCTAGCTTGGTTGCTGTCTCCACTCCAGTCGTCTTAAAACCATACCTTGAAGTGGCTGGCCAACAAAGGGACACTTGGTAACTCCTTAGTATACCCTGTGTCAGCTTTTTAGGGCAGACAGGTGTTCACCTTGAAAAGGTCAAAGATTTGTCTTTGAATTGTGCTGCAGCACAACTGAATACCTTTACAAAATAATAACCTATTATACGAAGATATTTAACAGGAATTTTAGAGAGCATTTTCCTGGCTGCCAGTCAGTGTAAGAGGGGTATGAGCTATCCCATGGCATGTGTCTCTTGCAACACCAACTCAGACCTGGTGCGCCATTTAGTTAGCTGCACGAATACATCTGGTTTTGTCCTCTCCAGTTTAAATAGGGCTTTTGTTTGCGCAGAAGAGGTTGTGTCTCTCTTTCCACTTGCTAGTGCTCCATTGCCAAGTTGTGCTTGCATTCCAATTCCTACTATCATTATTGAGCAATGCAAAAAGCCAGTCAACTAAAAAATCACATTTAATGACGTTTTAGTGTCTGGCATAGTTCTTAGAAGTAGACTTTTCAGTGAAGTATTTTAGTACCAAAAAAGTATTCAAATACATATTGCACTACATTAATAGCTACAGTAATGCATATTAAATGCGCTAAAATATATTTATATACTTTTTTCTTTTTATACTATTTTGTATGTATGAAGTTGTTGTGGGAGGAGAAATTATAATTAATATTAAAAGATAGAACTTGTATACCTCATGTTTTCAGCTGAATCCTCTGGCATTGGAGCAACAGTTTGGACAGCTGGGAGATTTTTGCTGGTAGCACCATTCACAAAGCTGGATGACGAAGAGGAAGAAGAAGATCCTGAGTCTACTGCACCTGTCCCCCAAAAAATACAGGTCTTAATTCAGTCTGAAGAAACATAACTTTTAGAGACTTTTAATATAGTCCTTGTCTTATTCATCTACTTTTAAGTAAGGAAATAATGTTATTTATTCTAAAACAGTTAAAACCATTCCATAAGACTATCATATAAATTAATACCTTATTTTGCTAGTATAACAATAATAAGCTTAAAAAGCTATTGAAAATCAGGCAAAATAAATCCTTACCTCATTTTCATTATTCCCAAATTATATTCCAAAGATGAAAACATTTTTACATCATCTTGTAAAGCAAGATCTTTCTTTTCTAAAATAAAGGTATATTTAAGATGAGCTTGAGTGGAGAATAGAAGTTTAACTATTTTTTAAAATATATATATATATGTATGCACGCACTTCTTGGCTGCCCAGTTGCATCTACAGGCAGAAAATAAAATGCAAATTAAAAAATGACAGAGAAGATAGAAAATGTATATTGCTTCAGGAAGTAATGGGGGAAACTAGTGTCTGAGGAGTATTAAGACTTTAATTTTACTTTTTCTGTTTCCTTCCTCAAGTCAAGGGGAATTTTAAGATCTTAAAAGTAGGGAGGGCAGTGGGGGTATCATTTCAATGGGTTGTGAACAGCTGCCCAGAGAAAAGATGCAGACAGAGCATACATTTATACTTTATGTGATCTGGGTCAGAGCTAAGGGCTAAACTTAGACTCTAAATGCCAATCTATCATGTTTGCTGAAACGGCACTGTGAGTTCAGCCTCTCTGAAGCAAACCAGCAAAGGCTCAGAGTGGCCATGAACAGTAATGAGAGCACTGTGATAAATGCTGTCCCTGTTCTGCTGCACAGCCCTTGTGCAACGTGTCACTGCAAGAGAGGTAGCAGCAAACAGTCTTGTAGTTGGAGTTCAAAGCCTAAGGGACTGCAATGCTACCAGAGATGCGGGCGACAGGCAAGATTTATCCAAGTTTGCAACGAGGGGTGGAGAACCCCAGTTAAGAGATCAACGGCATTATTGTGCCAATTTTTTAACATGATAACTGGTAACTCCCTGTTGCTGGTCAGTTTTAGCAGCTGAAATATCACTGTCCTTTGCATTACACAGGTATATATTATTTTTCAGTTTCCTGCAAAGCTCGACAAAGCGTTTATGGTTTCTTAACTGCTTAAGCAGCCAGCTGACAGTGAAGTAGAGGTCAAGTGCTGATAATGGTGAAAAATTCTCTGGCAGCAGGGAGGATTTTTTAATTTGCCTTTAAATAATTTTTACTGATAAAAGAATTAAGGTAAAGATCAGAATTTTGACTGGCTCATTTAAGAAAATTTACATTCAAAATAGTGTCAAAATGCAGCAGGATTTGCTGGGCTTGCTGACACTGGAGTAGCTGGTGAGGTTCAGGATTTAGACTAGGAACTGATTTAGTCTGCTGTTTTAACGATGTGAGCGGGAGGTGGATTGTGGCTTACGCTGTGGGTTCTGACTTGGACTAAATACAAATGGTAAACGTACCCAAACACACTGAGAAGGAAACACAAAAATATAAAGTAGGCTATGTCTCCCAACCTAGGAATCACAGCAACTTAGCTGGGAATAGGGTAGCTTAAAAAAGATTAAGGCTTCATATATATGTGTGCATGTGTGTGCGTGCACGCATGTATTTATATTATTTACATATTTATATTATTTACATATTTATATTCATATATACATAGGTAACATTTTTATTGCTTCTTCCTTTTTCCTTCCAAAGTCAAATTTTCTTCATTAAGGTAGTTGTCTAAAAATGCGGTTGCTAAGTTGTGTAACCAGCTAGGCTCCCTGAAGAGAAGGTCAAACAGACCTAGAACTACTGGATTAACATAGACGTGAGAATCAGGATATGAATTACAGAAATCCAATCTAAAACTTATAAAACCAGTTTCTTACATAAAGAAATTAAGGAAGAAAACCTGTCTCCCAAAAGATACATTCAAAGCACTAAAAGGACTTCAGTAACATACATCTCATTACATCGTGACAGTGACATCGACTATGACAGCGATGGCAGATGGAATGTAAACACCGACTGCAATCCACGAATAACTGAAAAAAACACCTTTCGCACAAGTCCAGCACAGAATATACCTCAAAGATAAAACTGTATTTCTAGAGTATCTGTGACATACTGTAAAAACAACTGTAAACAGGTTTGGGGGGACATCTAGTGTTTCTAAAAAATTGTATACTGTTTCTTTTTTACCATAGTAAAAAAAAAAAGTGCTGCTCAATGAAATTCTATACACTACTTCAAAATCATTAATAACATAGATAATTTCACAGACTACAAGTATATAAACCAGAAAGTATCTGGATACTTCATATCTGTATCTCAAAAACTGACATACATAATCACTGTTTTAACTACCGTAGGCATAGCTTAATTAAAAATGGCAAAATGAGCATTTTAATCTAATAGATATTTATATGTTTTCAATGTAGTACTACTTTTTTTTACTGCCATTAATGTGTTTAGCATTTCTGAAAAGTTGATATAATATTCAAATCTTTAAAAAAGGTTGGAGGGGAAGGACTTTTCAAATTATTTCTTAAGAGAATTCATCAATAAAGCTCATTCAGATGAATTCAGGCATAAAAGGCTTTACCAAATAAGATCACTAAAGAAGTTCAGTACACATATAGTTCTAATTAAATCTGATACTTGCTGAAATTCCATTGAATCAATACTTTTCCTTTAGTCAAGCTAATCCATAGACTAGGAGACAAAAACAGTTGCATTAAAAAAAAAAGCAGCTATAAGATCCACCAAAAAGCAGCATCCTTTAATCCACAGTGAATGTACCACGGTATCTGCAATACTGTCCCCTACTAAGAACAGTATCGGGGAAATGACTGATTTTTAAATGCAATTACTTACAAAGAAAAACTACTACATTCCAGCCAAAATAGTTCAGATCTTTAATCAGTGAGAAGACTGAAAAGCTTACACTATTCAGTATCATTTGGAAAACAAGGTTTCCAATGTAGGATATTTTTTGCATGACATAAGAGTACCTAAAAGGAAATCCGTTCAAGATTAACAGAAGTGACTACACAAATGGAACTGTTCATAGAAGTGATAATATTATTCAGAGCATTCATTCCTCCCATCTGCCTCAGGATAATTAGATTTTATGATTTTTTTTTTTAATCCTTAGAAAAATCAAAGTTCTATTACCAGGTATTAAAGGTAAATCTGCAAAAGGAAAGAAAAAAAAATGAGTGTGTCTTCATATTATTCCGTGAAGCAGAAGGATGCCAAAAGCTTCCCCCTCCATTTTCTGCAACCCCAGGGAGATTTTCACTCTCTCAACCCTTGACTGAAGTTGTGATATCCTTGAAGAGAGCTCTTCTCTCAAGTGCTTTTGCTTAGTTTAGAAAGAAAACAGACCATAGCCAGATATTTCAAAGGAGTTTAAGTAAACATCAGTTGCTTTCAGTAAGGATTAATTTCTGAATGGAAACCACAGTCTCCATGGTCAACAGGCTCCTTCACGATAGATGATCCCATTATTACTATTATAAATAATTAAAAAAGGTCTTGTCCTCCTTCTATAGGTCACAATAAACAACTACTGATAAGACAGGACTACAGTTAAATTAGATAGGTTCTTACTGAAAAACCTTCCAAAAATCATAGCATCATTTTCATTGACAAATAGTAATTGCCCAAAATATTAACCCTCCACAATCTACGATATATTTATTAAGTAGCTAGTTGTCTTTACTTTGTTTGACGCATAAGGAGGGATTAATTGGTATATATCATACAAACATCCTCTACTGCAGAGCACTGGAGAAGTTAGCTCATTTCAATTCTAAACTACGCTTATAAAACAGTATTAAGGCTATTTATTCATTTATTTAAGGCTGTGCAAGTCCAATGTGCACTATCAAAGATTATAAACATACACCAAGAGAAAACACTGGCTCTAATAAAGGCCAATATTTAATCTTTCCGGTTTTATTTTAGAAGTACAAAAACAGTAACAAAAAAGATGATCAAAAAACAGAACACCACTAAAAGTAACAAAACAAAAAACAAACAAGAAAAAATGAGGGTCACAAAAATATTTAAGGACAATACCTGTTGTATTAATCATACTTTTTGGTGTAGCTCCTGTTGCAGCAAATATATTAGGTGTACTACCAGGTGGCAGTCCACTCCCAGCCGTGGCAGCTCCAACTGTGGTAACAGCCAGACTACCTGGAGGGGGTTTCTTTACTGGTACAACCACGCTCCTGTGGAAAAAGAAATGGAAGCTTACTAAAACTGCAAAACAGTGTTAGCAAGAGTTTTTGTTTATGAAGGGATTATGCCATGTTATAATGCAGTTGCTGAGGAACACATAATAGTGTCAATTTTCTTAACCTTTCTGAAATAGGGTAAGACTATGTTAACGGACCCTAAAACTATACTCCTATCCTTTGTCTGCAGCTTCATGTGATTCTGAGAAACTTAATTTGTCTTTCAGTGCCCACAAAATGGAAAGACCCCACCACTTCATTGATATGTTGTGAACACCGCTATCACCCGTGTTCTAGATCCGCAAAGAAAATGTTAAGTGTTGGAAATGATGCCAGCATACTAGCAGTCTATACGTGTGCAGTCTTAATGAGTATGTTAATTTGTTGACCTTACTGAAGTTATTTAAGATGACAATTATTTTGCCAGTCATCTGAACACTTGAATATAGTAGTTGATTCTTCAATACAATGCACATACTGGTCTTGCAAATATAGTTGACTAACAAACGTAATTTTGCACTCAGCCTTCTGGAAAACTTTCATACTCATTTAAATCAACAGCACATGATGGAAAATGAACACCTAAACTGCAACACAGTAAATATTTGCTTTCACAATATTGATATCACGTCCATTTAAAAATAAGGTTTAAAAAGCAGTCTTGAGAATTTGAATCTTTTAAGAAGAGAACAGGGCTTTCATACAAAAAATCTGACATAATATCAGATATATATAGACAACATGGCATTCAAACAAACACATTCTCACCTAATCTTAAACCACTCTCTTTTTTTCAAATCTCAGAACTGAAAGACTTGCTGTATGTGTTAAAAGGGAAGAAGGAGGAAAATATTACAGAGACATTTAGTTAATATTTTTTCAACACTGGACAGCTGTCATAGTGCAGACAACTATATTTACATTTTTCCGTTTATCTATGAAAAACTGCTCCTGAAAAGTCTATTTCAGTAGAAAACCTGAGTGAAAAACAAACTTGAAACAAATCATATTTGTAAATGTTAAAAAATATATTTTCATCATCATACACATGTTTTCTGGTTAAGCAGATACACTTTTCTTTAAAATTAATCATTGTGATCAAATAAAAGAGCAAGAAAATGCAACTATTTAGGGTAATAAGGCCACATTTTGCTCTAGAACTTCCTTCGGTAATTATTTTGTTATACTTCTGTGTAAAAATAATGGCATATGATGGATCAAAAGGTGCGGAACAATTTTTTACAGTCATACAGTTTGTTCATATATATCTAAATCCTCAGTCTCCCTGGATTGTAAAGACTGGTGATGCAAATTGTATTGATGATGCCATTGTGAGAACTATATACAAGTGTTATTTTTTGTGATCTCCTCTTATATGATGACAGTGTACAAAACGATCCATAAGCAATTTTTTTCTCACTCTTTTTAGAGGGTAACAGTGCCAGTTGATGTCTCTGCATTCTGAACAACAGTTTTACCACTGCCCTGAAGCATGTACTATTAGAAAGGTAATTCTAACCATATTGATGGTTTTCAGCCTCCTTCCATTTACATTAGAAGATGAGTTTGCACAATGCAATAGCTATTGATTAAGATATATAACCCTAAAATAATTGCTTTTGTCTGTAGCTAATAACCTCTTAAAATTGTTGCTGATATGAAATGTTTACATAGCAGCAGCTACAGGTGAATAAAGCTGGGTCTACACGGGTTAGATTAATCTGCTCCATAACACCATGAAACTTCCTAAAATTAACTCCTATCCACACACAAAGATCTCTAGCTCAATTAATACTTCAATCAAATACTTGAGTTCTGGTTGTTCAGGAATACTGAATAAGTACTCAAGAGCAGAGTCCCTGTAGTGCCATAGAAACACAAGAAGAAATTAGGACTTGTATCTTAAGTGGGAGCACCTCCTGGATTATATTAATTTCATAAGGAAACTATCATTAGCTACAGCATCTTTGTAGAGAACTGCAATAGAAAGGCTAAGATTGGTGAGAATGAGGAGTGAATGGGAATATTTGAGGCACAAGAAGGAAAAGAAGGAAAGAAGGAAGGAGGAAGAAGGAGGACAGACAAGAAGGAAAGACACAGCAGGAAAAGACATCTTAGGCTGGCCTATGCTAATGGCACATAGATTACATCAGGTCATCAAGACCACAGGCATGTGTGTAGCTTCACAAGATAACCAGACCTTGGAGACGAAAACAGTGAACAGTGATGACTCAAAGAGGTGGGGAAGGACAGAGAGACAGTTGGCAGCTCCATAAGGGTAAAAAAAGGCATATCCAAAACCTGAAAATTGTTGCCAAACTATGAAGAACCCAGGAGATGTGAGGAAGACTTGACAGCTGGCATCCCATGCTCCCCATGTCATTGCAGAAGATCCTGGACCTGGCATCTGGGCACAAGCATGGGGGGTGCCTGACTGCTGGACAGACTCCTTAGACACACACCCATTCTAGTGCTTGCAAACGTGAGACAGAGTGTGAGTGAGTGAGATCTGTTTTGTTTTGGGTTTTATTTTAAATATTTTTTTTTCCCTCCTATAAGGTCTGGTATTGGTATCTGCTAAATTGCTGATACAATTGCTGCAAAAGAATTTCCTACTTTCCTGCTACTTTTCCAAAGAAGATTAAGCCAAATTCAAGATCTTCCTCCTTACCTTCAGACCGCTCAGTGGTCATTCAGAGTATCCAAAAGATCACCTAACTTTCCATAGCAAAGACCACGTATGTCAACTTTGCTCCTCAGACGTAACAGAATCATAGAATAGTTTGGGTTGGAAGGGACCTTTAAAGGTCATCTAGTCCAACCCCCAAATGTACTGGCCTCCTATAAAGGCAAAGATTCTTCTTAAGAGTGTAGTTTAAGACTGAAAATCAGCTCCCATAGCAAGAAAGAACAATCCTGCCCAGATCCCACAAATATTAATGCTCTACATATGGTTGACATTCTTTTGTAGGTCTCAATCAGGACATTAAGACAGGTCAGGTGTTATTAAATTACAAATTATCAAGAAACATCAAGAGAAACATCTCTACCATAAGATCAGGCAAAATCAGTGAGACATTATCATCCCAGACTGAAAGCAAATGCAGCTTTCTGACATGTCATACATGGTGACCTTGTCAAAATGTCTCATTCCTACTGACAAAACAAAATACAGCGAGTGAATACAGAATGACATGCAGATGAAGGAGACTGAAAAACTATATGAACAACACAACAGAGTGGTCAAAAATGTGCAAAACAATCAGAGGAACAGAAGAACAAGAAAGGTGAAAAAGGATGACTGACCGCTCTCAAGTGAAAAAAAACCTTCTTTTAACCAATCAAACCACTCCAACAGCACATTCAACTATTTCTTTCATGGAGGAAGAGAAATCTACAGACTAGAAGAAAAGGTTATATACACTTCTGTCATTGCATTTTAGGCCTTGTTTTCTACAACATATTTCAGACTTCCAAAATGTTCCAAAGTGGTCCACATTTTTCTGATTCACATCGTCATGGTCCCAAATGATCCTCAATGATTTAGTCAACAAAAGCTTAGCAGTAGCTGCTGCTCAGTAGCAGCTGATTTTATTTCTCTGTTCATCAGGTAGTTTACAATTCTAAAAAGAATTGTGACTACTAATCACTATTTTGTTGCTCAATGAGTGTCCTTTTCAAATAGTAAATCTAAGCCTGAAGTCATCGGAATTTGCATCATGTTTAAGATGAGTGTTGTTGGTTCAACCTGCACACCACTCGTGCATTGCTGGTTCATTAAATAATCTCTGCGAATGGCTACAGGATTCTTCTGCGTTTTAGTAATTTGCATGAAATAACTAGATAGAAAATAATACCATCAACGTGTTAAACTGCAAAAAGAGAAAATGGAAATAAAAAAAAATACTTTCTCAAATTAACTTTCCTTAAAAAGTTAGCTACCCAGTGCTGGTGACAGACAAATCAGGTTATGCAGCATTATATTTTCTCTCTCTTTCTTTGTGATCATCTTTCTGTACCTCTTCTCCATTTTAAAATCTAAAGGCCTTCCAACCTAATCACTCTGGTCAATCAAGAGGTCAGAGATAAGCCTCCAATACTGGATGTCTTGTGCTACCTATCTGAGCAGCAGCAATTAAATTAGAATCACTTTATACTCTTCTGGGATATGTGAAACCTCTTAAGGCTGAATTAATATTCTTGCTCCTCCCTTCCTCCCCCACAATAGCAGAAAGCATGAGCATTTTCAAGAAGTGCTCTTCAAAATGCAGTACAGACAGGCAGATTTTTCAAAGAAGTACTCTGTGTCAAACAGCAACTTCTGCCAGACGTTTCAGAAGGAATCACGGTAGAAATGGGGGACAATTTGTCTGCTATATTACATTTTACCTTGTTCCTACAGTTAGATTAATTTAATCTCTGAAAAGAAAGCTTAGTATTTCTTCTCTGAAAGTTATTCATATTCTCCATACCTACGTACATGTCCAGTCCTTTATGAAACAAGTATTGCTGATTACTCACTGTTCTTTCTGATAACAGCCCCAGATTGTGATTTGAGTTCGTAACAAGCAATTGTTAGTATGTACTAATAACACATTTTGAATCCTACTTAAGACAACCTTCTGTTAGGCTGACTGCATTAATATAAGATTCGACTGAGATCAAGGAGGAAACTCAGAGTTGACAGTCATGGAGAAGAAAACCTGGATAAAAAAAATGTGAGGTATACTGAAGAGACATGGAAGGCTCACAAGTATATAATCTTTGAGACTTATGCAAATGAAACCTTAGTGCTGATTGTCCAGTTACTATGGATTCTTTCAATCTTTTGATACCATACATTCATCAAAATACTCAAATCTTAAAGCACATAAAATGATCCTCGTCTCCTAAACACAAATTTCTTGTTTCTAAGTAGAAGAAAGGGAATCATCTCGGGTGTGGTTTAAGGACAAGGACATGAAGATCATTGATCTTTGCTTTCAGATAAAGCA